CCAGAATGCTTCTTAGAAGCAAAGATGGTGAGACTTCATCTGTCATACTCTGGACAAGTTATCAGGAGTGACCACTCCCTAGAGAAGGACATCATACTTGGCAAAGTGGAGTGCAGTGATAAAGAGGAAGACCCCCGATTAGATGGATTGGCATAGTGGCAGCAGCAATGGGCTTAAGCATAATAACAATTGTGAGGCTGGAGCAGGACTGGGCGGTGTTTCTTTCTGTTGTGCATGGGTTGCTATGAGTCCAAACCTACTCGATGTCACCTAACAACAACAACATGGACAAAATATTGAACAATGCAGGAAACATCAAAAGAAGATGGAAACAATTCGCAGAGTAACTGAGCTAAAAAAAAGGTCAATATTTAAGCATTTCAGGAGGTAGCATATGATCAAGAATCAATGGTCTTCAGCCTGGAGTGGCTAGAAGAACAGAAGATACTTTGTGAAAGAAAGACTGCAGGAAAAATCCAAAACAATAACAGCAGTCTGACTGATTACAACAAGAACAAGTAAGCTGTTCACCAGGAACCATCAAGGCAAGTGGTTGGGACCCCTCAGAGCAAACCCCTTTCAAGGCTGAGACTCAAGGGGAATACATGAACAGGCAGGTGGTCTGGCTGCTGACCATGTTGGTCACCAATAAGGGGAAGAGGGGGAAAAAACAGCAATGAAGTTGTGAGCTAAGCCTGACCACATTCAATAGGCCCCTATGAACCCGGTGGAGACCTGGATGGCCAGCAGTATAGCAAGACCTGGGGACTCCTGGGCCCAGAGGCAGTGACATGGCCGCAGAGGACTAGAGTGGATAGTTAAGCATCCAGCTGATATGAAGTGAGGGGAGATGCACAAGAACACCCATACTTGCAGGTAGTACCCACTTGACCTAACTTCAATGGCTGGATGATCAGAACTTGACTAGAAGAAGAAAGAAGAGGGGCGGGGAAAGAGTGACGTGCTATAATTTTATGAACTTTTACTTATGGATGTTGTTGTTGTTAAGTGCCATCAAGTCTGTTGCATGCAACCCATAGCGATCCTGTATACGGTTTCCAAGGAGCAGCTGGTAAGCTTGAACCACGGACTTTAGAGATCAAACAGCTCTGAAGTCTGGCGCATTAACCCACAGTGCCACACCAGGACTCCCACTTATGGATGTAGTAGCTCAAAAAAATGGAACAAATCTTTACAACAAGGATCACTCCCACTCCCTCGGTACACAGGGTTGACAGGGACAGGCAACTTAGACTTTACTTTGGCTACCCAAAATGGGGGGCCTATACAGGCAAGAAGTGACTGGCTTACAAGCTTTCAAGAGGGAGCCTAGCTCCAGACAGGGCGGGGGAAGGTAGAATCACCACTGAATGATTTCCAATCCGTTGGGGCCGGGCTGGTGAAAGGAAATGGGGATAAGACTCTTGCGGTACAATAGTGAATAATTGCCATCAGGACTGACAGTGAGGGTAGGAAATACAGAGGTAGATGTTTTTTGACAGAAGAAGGAGAGTGATTGATTTTGCGTCCCAGGAGCAGAGGTCACTGGGACAATCAAGTGAGAAGAACGGAGAGCAGCACCCTACCCAGAGAGGAAGTGATGCCAGGGATGGAGACAGAGATGATGACAGGGACAGATGGAGCAGCTGGGGACACTAGACTCAGGCAGGGATAAGGGCTGTGTGCTGGCAGCCGGTGGGCAGGCCTGTGTGGTGTACCCTTTGGTTATTTGATGATGCATGGAGGGGATTGTAATCATTGCAATGAAACAAAATACGATAGGATGAGTGTAAAGCTGATGTTTTCCCATGTAAACCTCACAATAAAAACTTTAAAACATTTTTTTTTCCTTAGAGCAGCATGTTTAATAAATGTAACAGCAACTATGAAAAAAAAAATAAAGAGAGAATCAATGGTCTTGAAGGAAGCACTGAGGCAGAAGTGAAAAGCAAGGCTTCCAGGATTGATGGAATATCTACTGAATTGCTTCAACAAACTGATGCAATACTAGAAGCACTCACTAGTTTATGCCAAGAAATTTGGAAGGCATCTACTTGGTCAACCAACTGGATGGGATCTATATTTGTGCCATTCCAAAGAAACACAACCTATAGAATATAGAAGTTATTAATTCATATGATTAATATCACACACAAGTAAAATTTTGCTGAAGACAATCCAAAACCAGTTATAGCAGAACATGGATAGGGAGCTGCTAGAAATTCAAGGCAGACTGAGAAGAGGATGTGGAACAATGGATATCATTACTGACCTCAGATGGATCTTGGCTGAAAACAGAGAATACCAGAGAGATATTTACTTCTTTTTTTATTGACTATGCAAAGACCTTCAACTGTGTGGATCACAACCAACTATGGATAACATTGCGAAGAATAGGAATTCCAGAACACTCAACTGTACTCACCAGGATCCTTTACAAAGACCAAGAAGCAGCCATTCAAGCAGAACAAGGAAATACTGAATGGTTGGAAGTCAGGAAATTTCTTATTGCTTATCCTTTCACCATATTTATTGCTGAGCAAATAATCCAAGAGGCTGGACTACATGAAGAAGAATGCAGCACCAGGATTGGCAGAAAACTCATTAACCACATGCTGATGACACAATCTTGTTGCTGAAAGTGAACAAGAAGCACTTACTGATGAAGATCCAAGACCACAGCCTTCAGTATGCGTTACTACTCAATGCAAAGAAAACAAAAACCCTCACAAGTGAACCATTATGAGAAAAAGAGAGAAATTTTGTCAATAATTTCATTTTACTTGGATCCAGAATCAACACGTATGGAAGAGTCAGTCAAGAAATCAAACAACATATTTCATTGGGCAAATCTGTTGCCAAAGATTCTCTTTAAAGTGTTAAAGAGCAAAGATGTCAGTTGGAGGACTAAGGTGCCATGGTATTTCAGGTATCTCCTCTGCATGGGAAAGCAGCATAGTGAACAAGGGAGGTAGAAGAAAGATTGATACATTTGAGTTACGATGTTGGTGAAGAATATCGAAAGTACCATGGACTGCCAGAAGAACAAACAAATCGATCTTGGAAGAAGTACAGCTAGAATGCCCCTTAAAGGTGAGATGGCGAAGCTTTGTCTCACATACTTTGGACATGTTATTAAGTGGGATCAGTCCCTGGAAAATGACATCATGCTTGGTAAAGTAGAGGGTCAGTGAAAAAGAGGAAGGAAGACACCCAAGGAGATGACTGGCTGACACAGTGGCTACAACAATGGGCTCAAGCATAGCAACAATTGTGAGGGAGGAAGGCTCAGAACTGGACAGTGTTTCATTCTGTTCTGCATAGGGTCATTGGGAGTCAAGTCTGATTCGACAACACCTAACAATATCTACACTCACATACAGAGAAATTCACACACTCACATATGAACACTCACTCATGAACACTCACCAACACACACTCATAGATGTATACTCACACACACAACTCACATTCATCTGCGCATTCATACACAGCTGACACTCCTCTATGCTCACATTCATATACAACTCCCATAGTCAAAAGCACACTCACATATACAAACTCACACTCATGTGCATTCACTCACTCATCCCAACATACGCAAAATCACACGTAGTCACATTCATAATACTCACACACATACGCATGCATGGTGTGGGAGCACAATTTTTAATATTCCATGATGATCATCCAGTTACATTCAACTGAGAGAGCTTTCAAAGGGGTAACAAGGACCCATTTTGCCTGTATGGTTTAGAATTGTAATTTCCTTGTGGTCTAAATTTTTTTGGAAACTTATAATCTTCCAGAAGGGATCTTCTAGCCTAACTCCCACGTCACCACTGCTGCATCTTTTACGATCAGCAGATTAGTCTCGAAGATGATTAAGTGCTGCATTTGCATGGCTAATAACTACATGGCACATGCCATGACAAGAATACAAAAAAAGAAGCTGGAAATTATCACGCAGCCAAGGGACTCACTGGGACAAATCTCCACAGAAGACATCATACTACATAGAAAACCAAAGCTTTGTTCAGGATTGAGTCAAAAACTGTGCTGTATTAGAGGTTAAAATACAAGTTTCAGGAAGCAAACAAATTATAAGGCTATCACATGACATTCAAGTTGGTTCTGATCCGTAGCAACCCTGTATAGAGTTTCCAAGGAACCACTAGTGAGCTTGAACTGGCAACCTTATCGTTCAACCCAACTTTACAGTCCAGCATATTAACCCCACAGCACCACACCAGGACTTCAAAATATTATTAGCACTAATAAAATATGCATAAAAACATTATAAGTTAAGTAATTCTTAATATTTAAATATGTAAGATCTCTATGTTATTTTACTCAGTGTATCATCTTTCAGAATTTTTGCTACTGTTAAAATGGTGTGGCCACTGTGGGTTAATGCGCTGGACTATAAGGTTGGTTTGAACTTCAAGGTTGGCAGTTCAAGCTCACCAGCCATTCTTTGGAAATACAGGGTCTCTGGTAGCGTAGTGGTTATGAATCGGGCTGCGAACCTTAAGGTCAGTGGTTCGAAACTACCAGCTGCTCCGCGGGAGAAAGATGAGGCTTTCTACTCCCGTAAAGATTTACACCCTCGGAAACCCTGTTCAGGGTCGCTATGGGTCGGAACCGACTCGATGGCACTTAACAACAACAATGGGTCATAACCGACTCGACAGCACTCAACAACAACATTAACATATGAGCATTTTGATCAGCTCTGAGCAATGGTGGGATCAGGAATAATGTTACATTTTAAAGCTCAGAATTTTCACTGTCTTTCTGGCTTGGGCTCTCCCTCGGTTTCCCTGTCATTCAGCCGCGAAGAAGAGGTCCATCTGTGTTTGTTTTATCTAACCCACAGTTAAGTATTTTCCCCCAGTTATTATTTATGCATATTTTCTTCATGACAGCCAAAACTTTTTTCCACATTTGCCATTTCCATGTAAACCTTTGGAAGAGAAAATAACCACATAACTGTAACCTCACAGGGAGAGAATGCTGTTGGGCAGAGTGGCCAGCAATGCCAGGGTGTGTCCAGGGTCGCAGACCCCCCCGCCCCCAGTGAAGCCCCTGAACTCACTATCGGCAGCAGGTCCTGTGCGCACTGAGTCCAGCATCTTGCCTAAACAGTGTCTGAGAGCAGGAGGCCAGGGGAATCACAAGGTGTGCAGTGCTGGGTTTAAAGATACATGTGGCGCTGTAGGATCAGCACTGGACTTCCAACTGCAAGGTTGGCAGTTCAATCCCACCAGCTGCTCCTCAGAAACCCTATACAGAACCAACTCGACAGCACTTTACAACAACAACAACACACTCATATACTCACACATATACACACGTTCATAATCACTTAATACTCACATACTCTCACTCAGACTCATAGTCTGATACATAGTCACACAAGTTCACACTCATACACTCACACACTAACATTCAGTCTCATATATTCACATACATATACATGCAGGCACACTCACATATACTCAAACTAACATGTGTGTACACACTCACACAATCACATGCTCATACATGCACATATCAACAGAGACACACTTACACGTTCCACATTCATAAACTTGCCCCTATGCATTCACCCGATAGTCACACAATCTCACATATACACATTTAGGTACATACACACATGCATGTTCACTCACACAGGTTCATATAGTCACGTGCACGCTCACACCGTCCATCACACACTCTCATTCTCATGTATGCACGTTCACACGCATGAAGCACATCCACACATGTATGCACTATTGTGTACATGCAGGCCGGTTCACATTCATCCACATAACCACATTCACAGCTTCACATGAATGCCCAGTCCAAACCCACAACGATGAGAGTCCAGTCTCCCCGCAAACATGTGCTCTACTCTGTTTAAGTGACTGTTGCTGAGACAAGTTCTGCCTTGTATTCTGTAGGAGAAGGAGTTTGAATTAGATGAGCTTTTTCATCTAAAGGGCCTTTCTTATCTCAGGTCTAAGTTCTGGGATTCTGTGTGGAAAACCTCACCAAGGCTCAGCAAACTCCATCACACACCTGCCATTACCCCATGGACCTGGAATGTGTACCCTGCAATGCTGTCTGGGATGTGCAGGTGTGCCTGAAACATGGAATTTGTACAGCTGTGATGGGGCTCACAGTGCTGGCCAGAGGCAGGGAGGGAAAGCATAGCCTTGCTAACTGCTCACAGCCTGTGCGCCCTGATTTGGGCCCTGAGTCAGGCTCAACACAACAATCAAGGCACTGTCACCAAGGACAATGTTTGTGCTTTTGCCTTACCTGGTCCAAGGATCAGGGGAGGATAGGACTGGGAGAGGCATGAAGGGCAGAAACAGTACCTGAGGAGGTTGAACTTGTGGGCATGGGCTGTGGAACATGGAGGGACTTGGGATTCAGGACAGGGACAGGAGCAGCTATCTCAGGAGCATGGGGACTCTGCTCAGTGAAGGGAAAAGGAAGTTGGAGGTGGTGGGGGTGGTAGATGCCTTCATCTCTAAGGGGTCAACAGGGTCTAAAATAATCATCCAAATGATGCCAAGCAGGAAGGCACTTTATAAAATTGTAAAACTTCTCGATTTGGACAGAACCTAAGTCATCTAGTCCAGTATCAGCCAAAACAAGGCAGCCTCGTGGACAACAGAGGTTCTGGAAAGTAATGTTTCCCAGACTGAGTGAAGAATTATGGTCAAATGGTCTTTCTGTTTCCAAAATTCCCCCAGAGTGTTAGGGATGGAATCCCCAAAAACCTCCCCTTACAAGACACAGGGGATGAATCTGTCCAAACACCAGGGGATGGACAGAGGGACACCAGCGTGGGTGGCATTGTTTCTGCTGGCAGATGACTTTGCCAGAAAATTCCTCCGTGCACCTCACTGGATCTCCCCAGGGGCCTGGTCACATCTGGAAAACAACATCTCTCTTCTAAGCAACAGCCCTTCAAACTCTTCTGGAGAGTTCTAAGGGTGGCCCCCGCTTCTTTTACTTTACAATTGTTCTTCATTGTCAATCTACATATCCACTTCTTTTCTTCTGTCTCGATCCTCTCTTTTTTCTTCCTGGCCCTCTTCTCTCCTCCTTTGTCTCTTTCTGTCTATGTCTGTCTTGTTCTCTCCTCTCTTTATTCTCTTTCTGTCTCTTTATCTATCCTCTCTGTCTCTGTCTCTCTCTCTTTCTGTCTAACACACACACAACTTTTTAACTTTGTCCTATTTTCTTTTTATATTTAACTTTGCAAATGCTCAACATTTTGAAAGCATACCTTTACATGATGTTATACCTTTTCTTCACATTTTCTACTTTGTGTTCTTGTCCTCCTGCTGCGACTGAATGGGAAGTGACGATTCAGCACAGAGTCAAGGATGCTGTTCCCTAGCCATACAGGTGCTGGTTGGAAGGTGAGGAAGTGCAGAGAAACTTCCAGAAGATGCACCAAGTGACCAGAACTGCTGGGTAAGGCTGCAGAGCCCAGGTCTCCATTACAACAAAAGTGCACATAAAACAGAAAGTCCCATTAACAACTGCATTCTGGTTTGTTTTTTTTTAATATATATCCTGCATCTCTCACAATGGAGTCTGGGGGAAAGCCCAAGTTCAGAGTCAGATGCACTGGTTCAGTTCTAGTTTGACCAACAACCAGATGTGTTACTGTGGGTAATATTTTTTTTTTAATAGTTTTTAAAAAATAATAATAATAAAATTTTCCATTGTGAATTGAATGAAGGTTTGGCAGAGCAAATCATCAGTTTTACATTCAACAAATCATAGTTTGCGCCATTACAACAATTGTAATCCCCTCCATGTACCAGCAGTTAACAATATCTACCTCTATTCCCTTTAACTCTTGCATTCCTCCCTGTGTCTCCCGCTACCTTCATCTTTCCTCTGCTAACCTCCCTCTTGTTTATATTGCCTGCCCTGTCACCCATGTTAACATGTCACCAGTCTCTGCTTGACAGTCAACTTGTAGAACTTAACAACAACAAACAACCCTCTAGCCCATGAATAATTCCCTCACCCCACCCACCCACTCACCCATGACCATCATAGAATGTTTCAGTTATCAAGAAAACCATTTCTTAACTTTTTACAACACTGGTCTCATACAAGATTTGTCTTTTTATAATTGACTAATTTCACTCAGCATAATGCCCTCCAGGTTCATCCATGTTGTGAGGTGTTATTCTTCAACACTGCATAGTATTCCATTGTGTGTATGTACCAAAGTTTGTTTAATCATTCTTCAAATTGATAGGCACGTAGGTTGTCTCCATACTTTTGCTGTCGTGAATAGTGTTGCAATGAACATACATGTACGTATATCTATTCGTGTCACAGCTCTTATTTCTTGAGGATCCATGAGTCGGAACCAACTCGACGGCACTTAACAACAAACAACAACATATACCAAGTAGATGGATTGCTGAGTCAAATGGTATTTCTATTTCCAACTTTGTGAGAAAGTGCCACGCCATTTTCTAGAATGGTTGCACCATTTAAAAGTCCCACAAGAAGTGTAGGTAGGTCCCAGTCTCTCCACACCCTCACCAGCATTTGTTATTTTCTGTTTTTCTGAACTTTTCTATTAATGCTGACGTAAGATTTACACCTTACACCTTTCTAATGGGTAGTTTTGATTTACACCTTTCTAATGGGTAGTGATCCGGAGCATTGCTTCATATGTTTGTTGGCTGCCTCCTTTTGTGAAGTGTCTGTTAATGTCCTCCACCCAATTTTTAATTGGATTATTTATCTTCTTCTTGTTGAGGCATTGAAGTGTTCTATAAATTTGGAGAGTAGTCCTTTGTAGGATTTGTTTCCTCCAGGGGAAACCGCATACAAGGTCACTATGAGTTGGAACTGACTTGACAATATTTTTTCCTGGTATGTGGGCTCTTTTTTTACTCTTTTGGTGAAATCCTTGATGATATCTAATTTTTAGGAGGTCCCAGTCATCTATTTTGTCTTCTGTTTGTGTGTTTTCAGTTATGTTTGATAGTGTATTTATGTCTGTGGGCAATATTTAACTTCTCCTTGCCTAAGTCTCCTAATCTAGAAAATAGGAACAATTATTCTTCCTAACTTAATAGTGTTTTGTGGTTGGCGTTTGTTGTTAAGTGCCTTCAAGTAAATTCTAACTCATAGCGACCCTGTCTAGAGTTTCCGAGGAGCAGCTGGTGAGTTTGAACTACTGAGCTTGCAGTTGAAACCGACCTTGCAGTCCAGTGCATTATACCATAGTGTCATACCAGAACTCCATACCTCCTAATTTTGGGAGTCCTGGTGTAGTGCTGTAGGATAAGCATGGGACTGGTAACCACAGGTTAGAGGTTCAAACCCACCAGTGGAAACCCTATACAAGGTCACTATGAGTTAGAACTGACTCGGTGGCACTTAACAACAATTTTGAAAGAATCAAATAAAATAACGCAGTCTTTTGGAATTATGAAACATTGTTAAGGCATCTGTTTCTTGCTGCCATTGAATGTAAGTAGAAGGTATGCAAGGCATAAAGTCATCTCAAGAGGGGAACATACATACCAGATGAGACTGGGCCAAGGAGACCTTCTGTTATGGACTGAATTGTGTCTCCCAAGAAATATGTGTTGTAGTCTTTATGGATGTAATCCTATTTGGGAATACAATTTTCTTTTCTTATGATAATGGGTCATATCATACTTAAAATACCATTTTAGTACAAAAGAAGACAGACTAAGGGGGAAAACTAATACTAAGACAAAGGTGTTAGACCAATCTATAAGCCCAAGAATTCCAAGGATGGCCAGAAGCTAGGACAAGGACCTTTTCCCCAGAGTAAACAGATCTTCCCCTAAAGCTGGTGCTCCGAATTCAGACTTCTAGCCACTTCTTGCATCATGAGAAAATAAAGTTCTGTTCTTTAAAATCATCCAGTTGTGGTATCACTGTAATGGCACCAGGAATGAAATTCATCCTCATAAGTAATGTTATCATAAAGAAGGGGTGGCTCTTGTGGAGAAGCTAATGCAAATGCAGACACAAAAATGTATTCAAATGAGGATCCAAGAACTTGGCAGCGGTGAGTCAGTGCATATGCCAAAAAGAATATCAGGCACCTGGATGTTCTGGGTTCTA